TTAAGGTCCAAGATACCTAAATTTCGTAGTGCTTTATTCTATACAGAATTACAGAACAGTTGAGGTTTGAAGGTGGCCTCTGCAGATACTCTAGTCCGAATCCCTGCTCAGAGCAGACCCAAGTAATTCAGATTGCCAGGGCCATACCCCATTGGGTTTTGTATGTCTCCAAGGATGAAGAGTCCATTATACTATTTTTATTTTGTTTGTTTGTCTGTGTTTGAGAATACAAAATCAGAACTTAGTTCATGCCTGTTAAGCCTAGTATCAGTTGACCCAGTCATTTTTCCTTCCTTGAGGTTTTTTTTCACTTCAAGAATTGGACTCTGAAGTTTATCTGTGTTTTGACTAAGCTTCTTTACAACTTCTGTACAGCTAGATGGTTCCAATTTCTTTTGCCATATATTATTTTACATTCTATACAAAAAAAAACCCTCTTTCTTCTCTAATATATTTGTTTTGATACAGTTCGTATAAAAGAATATTTGTATACAAGAACAGTATAGAAAAATAATGGTCTTGTAGTACGAGCTCCCACAGAGATGATTTACACACTCATGCACTATTAACGACAGTCTTGCATTGAGCATTTCTATATTTTTGCTACAGTTTGTAAATATGTAAGTGGATAAATGGAGTGGAAAGCTCCTGGTGAGTGCTCTCTGTTTTCTGAACAAGAGTTAAAATGTTATATCGGTCCTGTAAGCTGTTTCACGCCATTTACCTCATTTTGTTAGACTTCTGTCATTTTAAAAAATTATTTCCATCTTCCATGTATAGCTGTAACTATGGAAACCATGAAGCGATTAAGAGGAATACAGTTAATGCTTCTGTGGCTTATCAACACAGCCAAATGCTCAAATAGTTAGACAAAACTTGTTGGTTTTAAGAAGGTTAGAAGAATATACAAAAAAAATTTATGAGATGATTTCAAGTGTAGCTTAATGGTCTATGAAAAATGGAGATCAATGTGACAGAAAATGTGCAATTCATGGCTACTACATTATCAGAAATATATTAAGAAATTGAAGTAAATTCAGGCAAGAGAAATGAAGTTGAAAACAAAACTGATCTATGAGGAATGAGTAAGATCAAAACAGAGCTTTCTGAAGTTGTGATTGTCACAGGGGCTTAGAAGTCTCCCACTGCTGAGGATATAAAAATACCGAGGTTTCACCACACTGGAAAGTGTGGATGAGTGAGGTAGGAGTGAGCGTAACAGTATGGAAAATGGATTTTAAATGGGCTAAGCTTAAACACAGGGCCTGTGAATGAATTAAACCATTGGAATGTTTGGGGTTGCAGAGTTTCAGAAAGAGTGGTCTAAGCCTCATCATGATGACCTGTGGATAAATAAAGCCTGTACTTTCTGATGCTACATAAACTTTTCTCAAGGATTTGCTTTTGTTCTGAAAACAAAATCTTCAAGCCTAGACAAATCAGCCCAAATAATTAATACTTCTTGAGTCTCTTTAATCCTTAACAAGCCAGGATAAAGTCTCTTTGATTTTTAACCCTTCCTTTCTCTTGGTATGATAGTCTCCTGTCTCCCTCAAAATTGTAAGTTTGTAGATTTTGAGCATTTTAGTTAGACATAGACCTAAATGCAGAGCTGCAGGGATGTTCAGGTGCAAGGTTTCACAGTTTGTCCAACCTATAGTCCTGCTGCAGAAGGTCACAACTGGAACCATGACAATACAATTTTTGTAGTACGCTTTTGGTGGTGTGTACTAATTAATTTATTTTTTTAATAGATTTAGGAAAAAACCCAAAATCTCAAAGGGGGAGAATATTTCAGATTACTCTATGTAAGTGTGCTAGTGTGAATTTTTAGACAAAACCCATGACTTCTCTACTGGCGATTTTGGTTTCTTGCTTGAACTCCAAAGATATTCTCAGAGAAGTACATTGCAGTAGTGACTAGAACTTGGCAGTGTGCTGGTTTAGATTTATTATTTCATACGGTAACTTCAGTTGCTTGAATGTATCACTTCCAACAGTCTGTTTGCTGCAGGATTATTGTAGAGAATGCTAAATTTTTGTGGAAGTTGTTGGGAGCTTTCTGAAAGATTGGCAGCTCTAGCTGAGAGATTTTGGCAGCAGGGCATGTGAAGAAAGTCAGTTGTTTTTTGATTTATTTTTATCTTAAAATGACTAGTAACGCTGTTGCTAGCAGCATTGTCCACAAAACTGGCATAAAACACCCTTTTAATATTAACTGCTTGCATCCTGGCTCTGCTGCATCTTTTCTACATCTTCCTGTTGGCAGTTTGTAATTGTCAATTTAGAAACTTAGGCCAAGAATAAGATTAGTGTGAACTGTGTGCTCAAGTGCCTTAAAGTAGGCATCTGTTGCCATTTTTGATGCCCTATGGTACATAAGACATGTACGTATGTCTGGCAGATGTGATGTGCCCTCTTAAGTGACACGTGGCAGCCAGGCGGGATATGCTGACTTATCTCTAATGGCACTAGCCTATCATTAGGCACAGGTTTTCGTTTTATTTTGTTTGTCTACTTGAAAGTGAGTGGATTCTATTTGGATGGGAACTTAAATACCTGCCATGCCTGTAGTCATTTCTGTGTAGACACAAAAATGTAAGCATCTTACTCTCATCCTTATTTGTACACATAGGATGTGATTTGGAAAGTTAACATCTTGGTTAACTATGAAGGGCAAGCCATAAAAGAGCATGAAGCATGCTCTCCAGTGCAGGTGGAAAATTCTGATAAGGTGGTCTTTAGACGTCCCTCCTGGATGCTCTCAGTCAAATGTGTAAATGGCACTGCAGACTTCAGGCTAACATGTAGTTCTGTGAGCAGTGGGGCCTCGTTCCCCATGAACATGGCTTGTGGTTGAATTGCTATGTAGATTCTGGGATGCCAAGGGAAGATTGCACTAATGAAATGCTTATAGGGCTTTTGCAGAACTGCCTATTTCATTAAACTTTTAAGAATATAAACCCTTGAAAACTTCCATGCTTGTGCAAAGTTTTATTACATTTGTCCAGTGGGTTAAAACATTATTGGAGAGTGTGGGGAAAAAAAGAGAGAAGAAACCAATCAGCTGTCAGCATAAACCTCATTTTCTTGCCAAACTGGGATAAAAATATCAAGCTGAAAACCTTAGTTATGAAGAAAATCTGCACTGCACAGAAATGGAAGAACAGAATGCTAAAATGGCTTTAATATCACAGTCCTTAAATGGCTGAGTCCCATATGTCTGATGGGCATCAGTGTGGGCAAAGGGGTCCTCTCCCTGCTTGGAGGGGAGAATGGTAGAGAATTGTACTGTCCTTCTGAACCCTTCAGTCTAGGTGAGAGGCTTAAGAAAAAGCAGAACCTACTCTCCTAGGCTACTTCTTTATGAGCAAATTAAACCTAATCTGGGACTATTCCTAAGTGTTAAGTCTATCTGTGCTAGTAAACTGACAGAAGGCTGCTTGGCACACTCTTGGTCTTCTGCCCGCTAGCAGCACTTTTCCTGGTGGTTTGGGAGCTGGGGTACTCTGAGGCTTAACTCCAGAAGGCAATTTGAATGCAGCCACCTTGCTTTGAAGTAGAGCAGAGATTCTAGCATAGATGAAGGTTATATCATGTTATTTGGCGTCAGTGCTAAAAAACATGTCAGCACAAGTTTGATGCACTAGTACTGGTGTCATTGCAAGACGTAGTTTAACAGGAAAACATCCTCTTTCCGTAGGGAAAACATCCTCTTTCCTCTGCCTCTGTTCCTGGCCACATGATTTCACTACTCATCATGAGAAAAACTATGTTTTCAAATGCAAGTGGCTCCTGGGAGGACCTGACAGTCAAGAAAGAGGATACAAGGGAGTACATGGTATGGGGAAGCTGGGAACAAGGAAGGGAGAGGACAAACCCTGATAGGGAAAAAGAAGAGCAGGAGAGGGGGGAGGTAGGGAGAAGACCTTCCCGTTTGGTCACCAGGAGCCATTAGATGAACTCAGCTGTCTATATAGTTTTGAAAAATACATTTAAATGAAATCTTAGATTCACAAGCACATTGTCATTAGAAAAATAAAGTTGTTATTTAGATTTTGGACTGATGTAAGTATTCAAGTAGATTTTCAACTTCATTTATTTATATTTTAATGGAGTGAAGCTTTCATGACACTTTAGCTAGGGTTTTATTACCAAATTCATTTTGGTATAGCAAAAGAGATAAATGCAATGCTGTATACTAATTTCATGGTTTGCTGCATGTTTTTGTTATCACAGAAACATTAAGTGATACGTAGTCTAACTTAATTCTGTAAATGAATAGTTTTGTAAGAGTAAATTGGTAACATTTCTTCCCTCTGGCTTTCAAGAGATGACTTGCTGAATGGTGGCAGAGCCCTGCTGAAGTTAATGATGCCTCAGGCAGAGAAGTGGGTCTGCCTAATTGGATCTGTCTGAAATAGCTAGTGTCTTTTAGATGTGCATAGAAGAAGTGGCTAAAGGAATGTTAAGAAAAGCAATAAACTGACAAGATGTTGTGTATACATCCTTCAGAATGGAAATAAGTAAGATTGCATGAAGGTTCAGTAAGGAATAGCTTGTGGCCTGCTATATTAGCACACTTGTTACCCAATTTGTGATACAGAGACAAACCAGAATGCATGGGAGTCAGTGTAACTGTGGGTTTGCAATTTCCAAACTCATGGAGCGTGCTCCTTATTGAGACTCCTCAGAATCTTTTTTGGGTGCAGGACGTGGGGAACTTCTTCTGACCTTAGTCTGAGTTTAGCCTCGCATGTTTCACACAAACTTGGTACAAAGTTTATGTCTCCCTAATGTGATGTTAGCATCCCAGAGCATGTTTGGAAGTCTCCAAACTTGAATTTGAAAAAAAGCCTTCTACAATGCAGTTTTGAAATACGTAATTCTGAAGAAGTGTTTTTATTTATATAACTGAAAATGTTCTTTTTCTCTGTGTGCATAGTTGTATGTGTTATTTGCTATGGGCTCTTTCAAGTTGGAATTTCATGTTGTGTTAGTACAGGAATACTGTTCCTACTCATTGTGGATCACATTCAGAAGTACCTGTAAGAGTAAGTTTGAGGAATACTTTTCTTTTCTGTGAATGAAATACCCTGTATTCCACATGAAGGCAAGCATGGGATCCTTCTAGCATGTTTTCACGCAGCCTGTGAGGTTTCCACATGAACCTGTGTGGGAACTCTGCTGACTCCTGTATGTGCCACTTTGTTATCGTTATGTAGCAGTAAAGCCCAGAACCCTTTGCTATGCTGTGAAAATGCACATTTTTCCAGAGCCATGCATATGAACCCTTGGAATGAGGAGCACTGCTGTACTGGTTCTCTTTAATAGCTTCACGTGCAGATGTGCATTGACCTATGCAAGGATGCAATAAATCAGAAACAAACCCAACCACAAAAACCAGACTCTGGATGTCTTTAGTGACATACTGTAGCACTGCATCAGAGCTCACCATCCAGAAAAAAGGTAAACAGAAACTGGTTTTGAAGTGACAGGCCAGAGTAAAATTGTCTAACACTCTTCATTTTACTGATGCATCGCATGGAGGTCCAGAAGCCACATTACAGAACTGTAATCCTTCATCAGAGCATTTGTTTGGTTGCCTAACATCTGTGGATTGTGAAGATAAGTTATTACACAGACCTGCTTTAGTTTAGATTAGTTTGGACCGCATCCCAGTGTATTCAATCAGGATATAATTCCTGCATGCTGCTAAATTGCTTGCTCCACATATTTCTCTAAAAATGTTTTTCAATATACAGTTTTGTCACTGAAACTCTTCTGTCACCTCAAGTTTTAGTTGGTTTTTTGTTTGCCTTTTTTTTTTTTTTTCCCTTTTAAAGAAAAGCTTTTATCATTTTTCCTTTTGGACCAAACATATCTCAAAGCAAATGCGGTATTTGTTAAGTCCTGAAGATATTCCTAAACAGGGATGGTAGTGTAGCTTCTATGTGAGTATAATACAGATTTCATATATGTGGTGATCGGTATATATTGTGTCCAAAATGAAGTGTTTAAGGACAGCTGTAAGAAAATGCTTTTGTATTTACATGTCTAGTATTTCTTCTTTCTGTATACTGTATTTTTCTGTGTCTATTTGTGCATTAGCTATTCCTGTTTGTTTGGATTTCAGGATATTTTGCATAAAATCAATTACAATATCAAAGGTGATTATGTAAATTAATGGTAATTGCTTGAAGTTTATTACATACTTTATACATATTTTAAATGATAAAATACATTAAATTGTAAATGAAGTCTGTTACCATTTTTGCACATTTGAATGTGCTTGGATACATGCACACATGTAATGTAATTAGAATATTTAAATTTTACTTTAGTATTCCTTATCTTTCCTTCAAGCAAACTCTAGTTGATTTATTTTTTTAATTAACACTTTTTTTAGCCTTCTCCATAAAATGATAATAAAAATAAAATACAGGCAGAGACATATTTTTCATTAATGACTGTGGTTTATAGACATAGATTTTATACACAGACATATACTGACATAGAATTTATACACAGACACATGTGCGCGCACACTCTCGCTGTCTAATGAGCCAACAATTGTGTCAGCATCTATAAAGACATTTTAAAATGTGGGTTTTTTTTCCATTTAGTCTCGCTGTTTTTTGGTTGTTTTTTTTTTTAATAATATTTTTAAATCAGTGATACTGATAGCAGATAGACCAAAAATCTGTTCTATTAGAAAAAGTAGTATGATAGACTGAATCGCTGTTTTGTGAGGTATACTAGATGAAGGATATAAGACATTTTGGAGTCAAGGCTTTTTTTTTGTTAAAGGACTAGGATTTATTTTGTTGAAGTTGCTTTTCCTATTATCCTACTGAGTGTTATCTGTTTTTATCATAATACATGTTTGTGCTACTGTTAGAATAACTGTAGCTTTTGATTAAGTTCTCGGGTTTTTGTTTTCTTTTTTTCTTAATCAAAATTTTAATAGGTATTTTATGGTCCTTCTTAAATAGAAGAAATCTAACAGCCATCTTTTGATAAAGGTACAGTCCAGATACAGGGAAAAGAGTCAGATGGCTTCTTAGTGTGGTTTAGCCAAACAGTAGAAAAATAGTATTAGAAGTTCTGATGTAGTCTTCATACCTAAAGAGATAACTATTTTTTGGTGTTTTAAATTAATCTTAATTATGTTGAATATGTAAAATTATTACAATTTGTATCATGCTATGTAAGCCATGCGCTTCCTTCCCAGGCCAGAGAACAAGAGAGCTTGGTACCAGAGTTTGGTCCTGTTGCAGTTTCTTCCCTGAAGTGATTATTTTTTAATTTTATTCCTTTTAATTTTAAGTGTTTTATAATTTTGTGACTGTTGAATCATTCCTGTGTTTTCACAGTATAATTTGAACATATTTTTTGTTCCAACTTTTGTCATCCTTCTTACTGTCTTTACAAAACTTCTATTAAACTGGAAGATTTTCTTTAGCATTTTCTTTATTAGCTGTCAGCTTTATTTCACCTCCGTTTTTATTTTGGACAAAATTCCTACGTCTTGTATATTCTCAATGCATTTTGCCTTTTTTTTTCCTGCCTCAAAACTCCTTTTGTCTTTGTCTCAATTTTTTCTGTAACAGTTACTTTAGAGTCCTGATTAATCTTCATTTTTTTTTCTGCTGATTGACTCCTGTACATAAGACTGTCTTGTACTGTATATAGACTGGAAGCATAGAGTCTCGCTTTACTGTGTGTGCTCTTGTTTATCTGTGTATCTGGAATATAAAACCAGAAATAATTAAAAAAATCCTAAGAAGAATCAGTTATGTACACAGCTTAATTGTCATTGACAGGGACACATGTTTAACTTTTATTTATTTATTATTTACAGCTATAACTCAGATGGTAAATGATCATTTCCAAGTAGTACAGAATATGGTACTTCTGAATTCTTTTCATTGGTGCATTTAGTTCTCTATTGGTAGGTTTCTTTAGGTCTTACCTTACATCCCTGGTAAGTAGTTGTTGTGGATGTAGCTAAAACCATGCACAGTAAATGCTGAAGATATTTGCAGCATAATGTTTAGTTATGTTATGTGAGAAAGAATAATAAAAGGGAAATACTGTGTCAGTTTTCTGTGACAGCAGAGGTGGGGAGTTAGCTGTGCGGGACTCTGCCACTCAAGGTTAAAGTCCGATTTACTTGTCCTGACACCAGTGAAAACAAACCCAACCCGCCCCCTCAACTGCATCAACAGGCGTTGGTCTTGCCGAGTATTTGCTCAGAAGAGAGCTAGGGCTGGGCTGAGGGGGGATTGCTAAAGGTAGGACTGACGTATATTGACTGCACATTTTGGAGAAGCTCGCATAGCATGTGCCTGTAGGATGCTTGGCTCTAGCCAGCGCAGTCAGTGCTTGGAGAAGCATGTTCTGGGTCCTGTCATGAGCACCAATCTCACCAGTTAAGAGGAGAGCGAGGCATCAT